TAGTAAAGTTTTGCATAAAATATTCGATAAAAAAAAAATCGGTGTGCAGTGAATGTAAATTTGGAAGGTACAAAGTGTTTGTAATTTTTACAAAGTCAATAAATAAAAATAAAAATTATACATTTGTATTGATAAAAAGTAAAAACACAATATACATACCAAGGTATTTTTGTTAATAAAAAGTATTAAAAATGTATATTTAACGGTTTAAAAAACAAATATAAATTATTATAAAAATTAAAATTTACTCAAATTGATTCCTCGTATAGTTAATAATTGTTTAATAACCAACATGAATACTAAAAAAAAAAAAAAAAAAAATGACGAGATTAAATTACAATTTTATAGATATGAATAAAACAAAATATACTGTGCAGTATTAAAACGTAATCGTATTTGATAGCTGTCATCAAAAAATTGTACTTGAGATATTATTAGGGTGTTATAGCTTTAAAATTTGAGCAAAGATAATACCTAGTCCTCTGATAAGATCGATCGATTTATTATTATGCTAGTACATGTTCGTAACCATGAATTAATATGTTAATCCGTATAGATGATTAAAGAAACGTACAACGTACATCATAAAAATTTTGTTTTTACACACAAAATATTTAAGTAGGTTTATATTATATAGGTATAATTGTACACGAAATCCGTTTACATTTTGATTATGCATAGACAATACGTAACTATGGAACGTCGCGCCAATTGAATCGATCACATGCCAAAATATATTATATATTATGTACGCATTATGCAAACTAAAATTGATTCGATAATTTATCATCCCGAAGGTGATTGCACGTACGAGTGTACCGAAATTATCGTAGTATTAGTCATGTCTTCTATAATAGGTGTTTTAATATTCGAACAAGCTAACGTGAATAATTTGTTCTTATGTTAGTAGATACATAGACTTTGTTCAAAAAATGTATTTCATAAACACTGCAGTAAGAGTTAGTTGTGGCTTGAGAGATACGATGTAGCGTCTTAACAAACAATAGATACTAAAAATTCACTAGCAACACGTGACACTGTGGCAACAATTATATTCGATGTCCACTTAAGTCATACGCTATCCTATAATAATAATTCTCTTTGAATACCTTTGATGTCTAGAAAAAAAATACACCACTTATTGGAAAAAATAATGAAAAGTGATGATACCTACTCTATCGTAATTCGTAGATTATATCTCTCACTGTTAGTGAGTTTATTGATTAATATTTAATATTAGAACTTATTAGATGAAGATAATGGTTCTTATACATACTAATAGCTGACTTTGATAGATGATAAGAAGTTCTGTCAAACAAAACAATAATCATAAAAATTTTCATCTTTTTATGTTTTAATTATAATAATGAATATTTAATTCATTTAAAACTTGTGGTTTTTAAAAAATATATTTTGAAAAGGTATTTGTATAATTGATGAGCATTCAACTTTTTCCATTAAATATTAAATACGAGTGAATAGTTTTTAATTAAATTTACGTAGATTTTAGAATATTATAATATTCATTTGGTCATAATTATTATAAATGATTTTTTAAGACCTTTTTATTTCTGGTCGATATTTTAGAGACAATGTATACGTTTAGAATATATTGGTTAAGTAAGAGCAATTATTACGTTTTATCACGATATTTAGTAACTGATCTAATATTTTTATACTGATTTTATATTTGTTACTTAGGTACTGAAAAAAGAAAAAAGAATTAAGCAATTCTCACAATAATTATTCATTTAAATTGATAGAATAAAACCCTTTATAACAAGTTGTAAAAATTATGTTACATGAAACCTATGTATACATATTAGCTGACCCGGCTACCCGTTGCTGTGGATGTTTTAATTCGTTGTATTAATGTTATACTAAACTATTTACAAAGTTTTTAATTGATAACATGAAAATTTAATTTTATAAATGAGGTAAATAACGTTAATTTTTAACTATTTTTAATAATTATTTTTATTATTTTAAATTATAATTTTATTTATGTTATTTTCTGTCTGTCACCCGACATCAGTTCTTACCGCAAAATTAAAATTATTAATGATTTAGAGTTATTTTTTAGAGTTCTAATTAGAATTATAACACATCAAACGCACTATTCCAAAATCAAACTGGTTATTATTTTCTTCTCTCTCCCTCTCTCTCTCATATATCTCTCTTATATATTTTTAATCGAGATATGAACTAGGTATTCTATACTTTAAGATGAATCAAATCACACATATAAGCAAAGTCAAAATGTAAATTATAAATGTACTTTATCTCTAGATCTACTTATAAAGTTTTCTAAACATTAAATAATACTAAGGTATAATGATTAATAAAATAAAATATTCGAGTGCCTAAATATTTTTTATTAATTTTTGCATAACAATTCATTGTAGAATATAACACAAAAGATCAAGAAAATAGTTTAGTTCTTACCTTATTGTACATGATTTTTATTTTATAGAAAATATTTTTTTTTATTATGTAACAATAATTCTTAACTGGGTATCAATTAGTATTAACCTACTAATAAATATATTTTGTATAGAGCTTCTCTTATTGTCTACTAATTTAACAGAAAACATTTATTATATAAACCAATAACTAAGATGAACTACACTCCCTATTTATTTTTATAGATAAATTTAAACGATCTTGCAAATTATTAGTTATTATTTATTGCTGTTTTAAAAGCTCTACAGTTGAATTTGATTGATTTCAATTACTTCAGACCAAAAAATAAAAAATAAAAATAGTTTTAAAATAATAAAATCTCGTTGACTTATTTCAATATTATTTCGTACTCTTATTGAGTTTTTTTATTTAGTTAGGTTTAAAAAACGTAGTATAAATTATATTGAATTATTACAGTATAAACATATAGTGCACAATAAAAAGAAGGAACTAAATTAAAAAATAAACTAATATAAATAGTCACGATGAAATGTTGTTAAGTATTATGTATTTAAAAAATAAAATTCAATATTATGAATAAATGTTTTTTAAATAAACCGTGATGAATTTAATAAGTAAAATAACAATGGACAAAAGCAATTATACCAATTTTACTTTTAATTACTTTTCTATATATATATATAAATCTTTTTAGATTTTAATTTTAATGATGTAATGTATTATGTAAATAATATTTTTCTGACCACGTGTCGGCCTCCGTATTCGCAATTACCATGTTTGTGTATTTTTTAATTAGATTTTTTTACACAAAAATTTTTTTGATTTGAAATAATATTCGAATATGTTCATAATAATTTAAAAATATAACTGTATATACCAGTGCCCAAGCATAAACAACATATATCATTCATAATATAAGATTTAATTGACGTATAATATTCTTTGAGAATATCATATATGACGTAGAAAAAATGTATCTGAGATAAACTAATTAAAATAGAAAATACAAATTTAAATCCATTATATTAACGGATAAGAGCGTGTTCGTTATTAAACGTAGAATATTAACTGTACCTATTAATTTTTTCGAACTTAACTACACTTTGGACATCATGTCATTTTCAAGTATCTATACTAAACCAATTTATAATTATAATGTTTGAGTTGGGCGGGAGAGAGGTGTCAACAAAACAAATTAATCAATAATAAACCTGTGCGGTGTCTTAATTTTTTTCTATTTAAATCACGCAACTGTCAAAGGTTCAATTTCAATTTTTACAAAATTAGGCGCATATACATGATACACCACAAATGCATATTAAACGCAGCTAGAATGATTTAATTGTATATCATGAAGGTGTCACAGTAGAAGAAACTAGTGAATAATATAACATTAGTACCTGGTGCGAGACCCTCGGTTTTATAATCCTCGGAAAAGTGGCGATGTGTTCAGTTGGATTGTGAGCGACAAGATTTCTTAGGACATGTAATAGGTACATTTTTTTTAGTCATTTGTGGCAATGTTGTGTCGCACCGCCCAAAATTTAGCGAACGGTGGCACTAACACGGTTTGTTCAAAAATTCATCTAAAAATTTCAGTTTTAAGACCTAAATCTTAATATAACATTTATTCTTAAAATTTTTTGTTCTTAAACTATATAATCTATAATTTAACGTCTATCTTAAATTAATATAATTGGCCAATAGAGCATCAAACCTATAAGTTGTATTATAAATACAAATATTACGACAAGGATAAAGGTGCAAGTCTGGAGTATATTTATAGTGATACCTTGTATTTATAATCAACGGTGATACGTTTAGTGTAGTGCTTATTCTTCATTGATTATCCATTTATTATAATACTTTAGTAAATACGTGTAAACCGACAGCTGCTGGGTAAACGATTAATAACAATAATGAACTAATTTCACCGATAAGACCTGATACACTATATAGAAGTTTGACTAAAATGTTTAATCCCTTAAGATTGATTCATTTTCCAATCACGAACCTGTTGGTTGTTAAAAACTTAAGCGTAATGAATACCTATGCCAATAGAAAATATAATATACATATTTAAAAATATCAAATTATTATGAAATTATTAAGGAAATTTCTAAGAAAATTATATAATTATAAGTATATAATTAAAATGTATTTTAATTCAATTCCATTCATTGAAATGAATAATGACGAGATTTAACAAGTTTTTTATTGTTAGTTCAGGAAGTCAAAAAATTTACACTCAATTATGAAAACATGAACTGTACAATTTTTATTTAAAACATATTATATTATGTACATTATTTTCTGCTACAATAAAGTAATATATATATATATTATAAATAGTATAAATAATTTGTATGCATGAATAATAAACTTACTTGTATATGTTTATAATAATATTATCACTTAATTTACGTATACAGTTTGTTTTTCGTATAATATTAGGCAGTAAAAGACTAAAAAAGACAAAAACGTCTGTTATAAATAAAATGCCTTATAAATAATAAAATTGATGTTTTTATCAAAAAACAAAACATTGGAATAATATATATATATATATTGCACGAGTTTGGCGAACAAATCATATTTTTTTTATTTTTTTTTTTCTTATAAAAAAAAAACATGAGTTAATTATAGTAATTTCGGATAACCGAATGTCGTCTTTTCCTTTTATATTAATTACAGTATAAAAGGGTTCCTTAATGTTAACACAAAACAAAAAAATACACAACTTAACAACTACGACTAGTATACGCTTCTTAAATTTAAAGTTATTTACAAAATGAAAATAATTTAAATTGAAATTGAATTGGGGAAAGCACCAGAAAATAAACCTAAGTTGACGGGGTAGCTACACGTTTTTTTGTTTCAATTATCTAGTCAACTCGTCAAACCAGTCGAAAACGTCACATTGATAATTTGGTTTAATGACGAAGTTACATAATATTTTACTATTTCTAGTGTGAACCACGTAGCAGGTTACATATTATAAGCAAAGAGACACGTATATTTTCAATGTAATGTGTTCCCGATGCCGGTCTGGGTTTTAAATGTGGTGGGCGGTTCGTCTATTCGAGTAGGAGGTATATTGTACAGAAATAATAATAATAATAATAATAATAATAATAATAATAAAAGTTCATATCGAGATCATATTTTATTCTTCTGATGGGTTATTGGTTCATCATTATTCCTCCTGCCTGACCCTTTAAAGAGGACCATAGTCACTGAGCCCCGTGGTGGAGGGCATCATGTCCTCGGACGGGTCTGGTTGCTCGTAGCTAAGGGCAGGAGTGGCGTACTGATGTCATACGTGGCTAAGCGGCGCCTGTTTGATGATGTGGTGGTGCAGGCTGGACGACGGGGCCAGGTGGTGGGACGAAGGCAGCGTACTTCCCGGGACGGAGGGCGCTGGCATGTATTGTAGCTGCTTACGTTGTTTGCCCGAGTTGACGAGCACCGGATTGGGGCCGCCCTTGGACATGCGACCGCCGCCTCCTCCGCCACCAACGCCGCCGCCGCCAAACAGTCGACGGGACAGTCGCTTCCACGAGCCAACCGTCTTGCCAGACCATATCCACACACCTGACGTGACGCCCATCACCAACGTCATGAAGTACTTGAGCATGAGCATGGTGTACACCGGCTTGGTGTCGAGGTCCGGTTCGGAGCACGGGCACGCCAAGTGGGCCACGCGGTCAGGCATGTACCGGGCTTCGTAATAGTGGCACCCGATGACGACTGAAGCTGGCACGGTGTACAGGACGCTGAACACGCCGATCCTGATCATGAGCTTCTCCAACTTGTCAGCCTTACTTCGGCCCACTTGTTGCTTGATGACGTTCCGAATGCGGAATAGCGACACGAACCCGCCCAATAAGAACGATATGCCCAACGCCAGGTAGACGACGAGCGGTGCCAAGACGAACATTTTCAGGTTGTCCGGGTTTTGGTTGCCCACGTAGCATACGCCGGCGAACGCGTCCCCGTCGACGGCAGACATGACCAGCACGCCCAGCGACTTGACGGTGGGTATCAGCCAGGCAGCCAAATGGAAGTATTGTGAGTAGGATGCGATCGCCTCGTTGCCCCACTTGAGGCCGGCCGCCAGGAACCACGTGAACGCCAGTATGACCCACCAGATGGACGAGGCCATGCCGAAGAAGTATAGCAACAGGAACACGAGCGTGCACGGCGTGGGCCCGGATGCGTTGTACTTGACGGAACCGTCGGGCTCGCAGGCGACCGCGTCGTGACCCGCGTACACTCGGATCAGGTACCCGAGACTAACCATTAGGTAGCAACCGGACAGGAACACGATCGGCTTTTCCGGATACTTGAACCGCTGCGTGTCGATGGTGTACGTGGTGAGCGTCATCAGCGTGGTGACACAACATATGCTCGACCAAAGCGCGATCCAGGTTGATGCGAAGTCCTTCTCGTCGTCGGTGAACATCACGCCCCGGCACGGCATCGCGCAATTATCCACGCCGGCCACGGACACGCCACTGCGGTTGTACCGGACCGATTCCCTGTCGACGGGCACCAACGGCGGTCGGCACTTGCACTCGCACCCGTCTTCGTCGCCAACACCGCCGCTGCCGAACGCGTACTTCTCACATCCCTTGGCCCTGCTGCCCGGCTTGCACTTGTTAGCCGGTGACCCGGCCGGCTTCTTGGTCGGTTTCACTGATCCGTGCTGCTGTTGCTCGTACACGTCCTGGGCCATGCACAGTTCCGGGCCGCCGTTCACCGGCAGCTTGTCGCACTGCATCTTCTCCGGCCACACGAACCCGTACCGCTGCATGACCGGCAGACACCCGTCCCGTGCCCGTTCGCATACGCTCCGACACGCCTGCAACGGTCGCTGGTACTCCTCGATGCAAATGGGCGTGTACACGGAACACAGGAAGAACTTGAGATCAGCCGAACAGTTGATTTCGACCAGCGGCCAAAACTGATGCACCTCCATGCCGGCCTCTTCTTGCGTCTCGTGGTTTAGCTGGTTCGGCATCGATGTCATGTTGTACCCGATGCCCCGGCACATCGGTATGGTAATCTCTTCGCAGCGCCCCGGCACCGGAACGGCCGCCACACCGGCCACAGCCCCAGCCGACGCTGCCGCCGTGTTCGTCACGGCCACCGGCTGCATGTTGCAGACGGCGGTGGCCGCGATCGCACACAACACGGCCACCACTAATGTCGGCGCCGCGCACATGTCTGCGGCACCTATCGGTACGGTAACGTCTGGTGCGCGCGTACCTAAGCAGTTGCAGTAAATTCCAACAAAAATGGATCCCTTTCACGCTCGAGTTCTGCGCAAAGACGATTCCGAATGTTTACGAAACTTCATGATCTCGACACCTGAAACACACAAACGAAAAGATTTGTAAATATATTTTCATTTCGATAATAATTATATTTTAACATGGGTAGTGGAGCTGGGAAGGGTATTAGGCCAGTTCTTAGAACACATTATCTGAGGGTTTGAACTCTTTACCCTACCTTCTAGGTATAGTTTTAGTTAGGTGCCTAAATTACAAATAATATCAACCATCACAAATATCTCATATACAGCTGGATTTTCCCTATACCGTTTCGTGTAGAGATGAATGTATTCAACTATATTATAGGTAACAACGTTACATTAATCACCAACAACAAATACGACATGGTGTAATTGAAAGCGATGGAAATCCGCGACTTAATATTAGTGATTCTCTGGGTTCTGTAAATAATAACACAATCTACGCACAGCCTATAGTTCGATACGTCCATGTAAATAGCATACACGTTTCGTGTCAGAGACTAAATGGAACGCTAATACGATATTCACAATATACTTAGAACATGGTATCTACATTAATAATAATGTACTAGCTATTGCTTATTACTGCAAAGAAAATTACTATGAAATAATTAATCAGAACCAAATAATTTATAAGTGATTAAGTGATAGTGAAGCTTCTTATTTCAGTTTATAAACGGATTAAGTAAAATAACCAAAGTGACTTTTCATTAAGTCGAATCATCTTTATCAGTCATTTACGATTTATCTTTAAAATAAATCGAAAAATGTTTAAAATAGATTTTAAATAATTTTAATTAATGAAAAATCATCGATTTATTATTTATGTATTCAAATTATTAACGTAATAATATAACGTGACCTTTATTATATTTAAACTCTCGCTTAACTATATCGCAACACGTGCATTTTTCATATTCATAATTAAAATATACAATGCTAAAAATTAGACATAAATCATATAAAAAATAAAAATTGATTGTTTGTACGTCAATATGACGAATATTCGTTGACAGTTATTTGTTTATTATTAACTATGTTTGTAAAAGGACGCTGCAAAATAAACATGGAAACGCATATAAATCTTATTCTTAGCGATCGCTATTTTATATCATGGTATACAATATATTATTATATTATTATATTGTATACAATTATTACAATGTGAATTCGTATTGGGTTCTACGAACGATTGGGTCTGAGAAAAATACACATGCTAAAGATTAATATTTTAGCGCAGTGTTGTCGCATACGTTTCACGCGCGGGTCAAACGTGTCAAAATACGAGATACCCCGGCAGCGTATCGAGAACAGATGTATGCATTCATGTGATTTATTTTTGTCCAAAATGGGTACATGTTATGTTGTATATATATATTATATATATATAATGTGTACATTGAAGTGGACAGACAAACTCCAGAACAATTTCGGTGAATATTGTTATTTACAATCTGCGACGTGAATGCATCATGACAGTTTTCACTTTTCAGCCCATTCCGTTCTCGAAGGTAAACCATATTACCGGTTGCAGAGCGTTGATTGCTATACGACGAGGGTACGCGATGACAGCGAAATCGAATTGCTATATTATGCCTAATACATATGCAGTATCTCGGGTGAATGCCGAAAACTAAAATAAGGGGCTCGGTAATTGCAGCGGAACCCAAACCCCGAAACGATTGAAAATGACGAGTCGTCGGGCTAACGAATTTAGTTACTATGTATTCTACAGTGTATATGATGAAATTTCATTATCCTCTTCATCGTCAACAACGACCGCGACGTCCGTATACACGTACATACACACACACACACACACACACACACACACACACACACACACATATATATATATATATATATAAATTATTTGAAGACTTGCGAAATGTATGTAATCTCGTTTCTGAAATTGCAAGCCAGATTCTATTCGCGGTGAATAGCGAGCAAATAACACTACCCCCAGTCATCCACACTATATATACGTATAATATCGTGGGCGTCACACACACACTATCACACATACTAGGTACGTACATTTCGTTTCTCCCCGTTTCGGAGGCAAACAAAATGTGTCGACTGTAATACCATAATATAATGCGTATATTTGTCGTCCGTCTGTCGTGTCTAACGACGCGGAATCGACGTACAGCTTTTGTGTGTGAACGGTGGTGACGATGTCCTCTTCTGTTCATCATACGTGTTATAAAACGTTACAATACATTACATATTATAAACGATATTACGCACGATGACGACGACGACGACGTGTGCGCAGTGGAAATCACGAGTTTGGGCGAGTTTGGTTGCGGTGCAGAGAAATTTCTTCGTTGCCGTATAATAGTTATCGTACTCTATATACAGTACGTATACAATATTATCACACCCGACATATACCCAAACGAATCGATTTTCGGAAAGAGAAGAAAAAAAACCGTACACATACAGGATCGGTGTACATATTATTATTATTATTATTTATTATATAATACCTTCGCGACGACGGATGGGTACGTTCAACTCGACGTGTTTGAGATGTACGAACGAGTATATTGTACGTATAAAGAGAGGTATCATGTGTTGTGCTGTGTGCGCTTATTAACAGTTCGCGTGACAAATCGTCAAGACTGCTCAGTACACATTCACACACACACACACGTACGAGGGTATATAATAATATGATTTATATATTATATTATATATATATAATAACGAAACACACGGGGATCACAATAGACGAGAAAAATAGATTGAAAAGCGATTCCGACGTACTACGAGTACGTGGCGTACGCAGTATGTGCAGACCACGGTGTTCCGTCTTCGGCCAATATCGCTGGCTAGAAAATAATATAATAATAATTAACTCTCTCGTCGTTGTATTATTATACTCGTGTGTGCGTGTTGTGTACGACGACACCACGCTATAGCGTTGTAGCAATATAATTCATTGTCGCGCGCTTCTCCGGTGGTGCAAGGCGCGGGCCCGCGATACGGTCGAAATGTTTTATGTGTACGAACGACCGACTCTATCGTTGGCGTCCCCGACGTATTATCTCTTCTAGACGATCTCGGGGTCTTTTTATTATTATTACTATTATTATTATTATTATTATTATTATTTCTTTTTAAATAAATCGACTTGTCCGACGTGTCCGTCCGGCCGGTGGGTTATCGGGTTCTTTGTATCTCACGTTTTCCACCCGCTGCGTTTTCCACCACACTCCCTGCAGCCGTCGCGTCGTGTACGCGCAGTGTACACATTTGAAACTATTAATACCGTGCCACGTACGATTTGAATAAAATACATCACATTTATTATTATTTAATCGACAGCCGGTAGTCTATCCATCGCGATATATCTATATCCCCGAATAATCTTCAATTAAATTCGGTATCAACAATTTAATAGATACCTATGTGTCTTTAATCCATTTTAATTGGAATGCCGCTACTATCACCTACGTCTCTCCCCATAAGACACACATTTTGTGCCGTCTCGAATAACACTACACAATCTACATTTAACTGGCGACCGTATGGTGTACATAAAAACGTCCGTTTATTATAATTTGTGTAGACACGTCCTTTTTGCTGCGACCTTAAGAATGTGATTAAATGTGCCGTAAACGGGCGATCTGATTCATAGAATACAAGATCATGAGTGTATGTAATAATATAAACGCTTCAATAAAAGACGATGAGAAAAAAAACCGTATTGGAATTATTTGTAAACCAAAAAAAAAAAAATTACCTCCTGCGGGGAAGTAAACATTGGGTAAACAGAAATTTCACGGTTTCATATGCATAGGTACCGTGTTTTAAGTTATACGTATCATCGTCATGCATTCATCGATATCTATTCATCGCGAACAACCGAGTTATAAATTGTAAAATCTAATTCAAATATTATATATTTAACCAAAACTAAACAACCAGAGGATTTTAATTTTTTTTAATGATAAATAAACATAATGTAGATTAATCGAACGAACGTACGTTATAAATAATTGGAAAATTATTATTATTCATTTCACTCAATACGACGTGAAGAATAACTTTGTGCGGAGCGAACAGAATTTTTCAACGTTCAACTATTAACCTTATAGCCGTGATTAGCATATTATAAAAATTCGAATGGTAAACATATACGTTCGCAGGACTCGAATCGCGCCAATCGTCTTGTTTTTTTATATTATTATTATTTGTTTACCGGTGGTCGGATGGAAAATATTATACTTTAACGTTGTCGCTGTCGTCGTGAATTATTTACATATGTAGCATATTATAGTAATAGGATTCTGAATATAAAATCATGTATCGAACAGCAAAAAAAAAAAAAACGTATTGTAAGACGTTCTACGTTGCAGTGCAACCGCAGTCCGAAATGAGGACGTTTCATTCATGGAAACTACACAAATAATATTATACGCGTACACGCGCACCCGAGAAATTTATATTATTATAATATACCGCCACGATTTGCTCCCGTCTGTTGTATTCAAATGCGGTTAGCCTCGCGGCCGTTGAAAACCCGGTAACCGGTGCACGCGAAACTTCTGCATGATAATCTTGTTTGTTGTGCAATAATAACTTTACTTTTCCCTCTCGCAGCATCTGCCGTCTTGTAACGCATTAATATCTATATCAATATGTATATACTGTAATGTATTTTCCCGTATTGAAAACTACAGCAACTTTAGATGTGGACAACAATCTAGTTACGAAACCGCGGTCATCGTCATATCCCGCACACGTGTTACATCGACAAATTTAGTATGATACCCATCATTATTATTTATTTCATACGACATGCTCGCCGTTCTATCAACGAACGTTTGGTCATCACTTGGCTGAAATTAATTTAGGACGCATGAATTTACCAAAAGTTTACCTACCGAATATTTTAATGTAGTTTTACAAATATTATATTAATATTCGACGATATGAAATAATATATTTAAAATCTTTGAACTTTAAATTAATTGTCCTATAAATTATGAGTTTGTATTCGACAAAGACGTACAAATCAAAGTAGTATATCAGTTTCGCTGAACGA